AGTGGAAAGGGGGGGGCCACCCGGTGCCGGCCGATGCAGACGCGACTCGCAGACTCTATCGGAGAGTCGCCCCACTCGGTGCCGAAGTCTGTCTCCAGCTCCTTAGAGGCTCAGAGGGATCCGCACACGAACGTCAGCCTTCAGCAGCCCGCGGGGAGAGGGCGGGTGTTCAGAGTCCTCCACGTGAACCATTCCCCACGTCTGCCCCGTGACCTGTCCCTGGGTGCGCTGCTTGTACATAGAGGAGACCTGGGCTGGCCCCCTGGAGTGCCGAGGAGAGGGTGTGCTCGTGGAGGTACAAGTCGGGCTCTGGGAGACAGCTGAGGAGGGGAGCTCATTGCTGCCCTGCCTGGCCAGGCTGGTGTCTGGGGGCGTCTCAGTTTGAACGGCCCATGCGCCCCAGGGAGGGCTGGGCACGGCGGGGGCCTTTGCCCAGCCCCTTCAGCTCTGCACTTGGGTGTTCAGCCGCCTGTTTTTCCTGCTGCTTCCTTGGGGAGGCTCTAGGCCTGGAGAGGCAGAAGTGGCCCCTGCTCGGCCCAGCCGTGCTCAGGTATGCTCTCCCGACATGAGCATCGCAGGGGGCTCTGCAGTCACTCTGCTTGCCAGGACCTTCCCTGCCTTCTCCCTTCTCGCCACACTGCCAAGACCCCCCAGGACAGGCCCCTCTCGGGAACGATGAAGTTGCCGACCCTGTCCCCAGTCCATGGTACTGCCAGTCCTCCCCCGAGAGCCCTGTGTGAATCCTGGCGGTGTCGCTGCCCGCTCTGCTGCAGGGAGGTACAGTTTGTGTAAATCCCGAAATGGACAGGGAAGAAGACCGGGCTTGCCCCCTGCTAGGTCCCTGCTGCCCACCCTCCTCTGTGGGAGGAGCCCCTTTGCAGCTCCTGTATCCTGCGAGGGGGTCCTGGGAGCGGGGGTGGGTCTGCCCGGCCTTTGCACGAGACGTTGGTTCTAGCCTGGGGCACAGATCTTCCAGGGCTCCAGCAGAACCCAGAGAAGTGCTCTTGGGGACGGCTCTACCCCTTACCTCCCCCTCCTGATGTTTCCTGGCCTTGGACCTCTGGCTGCCTTGTCCAGAGCCTGTTTTCTGCCCTGCTGTTGTATGAGACCAAGCAACTGTCTCCCTCCAAGCTCTGTGCCAAAGCTTCTGGTGAGACCGGGCTTCCTGCAGCCCCTTCTCCCGGAGGTCGGCTTGAAGCCCTGGGCGAGGAGGGCACCCAGCCAAGGCTGTCCCTGCTGAGGCGGGAGCCGGGTGCCTACGGCTTCCATTCTCAGTACATGCCCAGCATCGGGGGCCCCGGGGAAGAGGCGGAGAAAGAAGACCCCTGAAAAGGCTTGAGAAATGAGGGAAGGGGTGTGGGGTTGGGGGGAGTGAAGAGCTGGCCTCCGGAGGGGCGCACGTGGGACCCTTCGGTGTCAGGGTGCACCCAGCACTTTGTGCGGGCCGCTCGGCCCAGCAGCCCGGCCAGAGCCCAGGGTGGAGGAGAGGAAACTGCCGGCCCCTCCGTGCTCACTGTGGCCAGAGTTCTCCTGTTTGGGTTTGGGGCTTCTTTGTTTGTTTTGTGTTTTGTTTGACTTATTTGTTTTTAAAGGGAAAAAATGAGTTTGTAATTATTTCATCCACATCTCCCTTGGATAATATCTGTGAATAATGAAGAGATTTTATAACAGCAAGAAAAACGTGTATATTTCGGTTTGTCAGGAAACAATCATGCGAACAGACGATACTGAGAAAAGCTATTTGGGAACCCTGGTTTTTGTGAATTTTTGTTTCAGGTTCTGTTAGGACCTTGGGTTTGGTTCTGTTCGGGTTTTGCACCACACCCAGCTGGAGAGCAGGTGGGCAGGGCTAGGCTGGAATGCAAGGGCGCCCACGGCAGGAGGTGGGGTGCCCTCGGGAGGGGGCTCGGGCCTGGAGCCTGAGATCAGCTATGAACACATGGAGCCCGATGCATGCCGGCCGGAGCCGGAGACTGGGTCCTGCCGGTGGTGGGACCTCAGGACACAAACTGTACATTTACCAGTGGGTTTTCAGACCACGGTTTTTACTGCAAATAAAGTCGAGTTCTTTTCTGCAAAAGTGACCAGCCTTTGATGCCGGGGAGGGATGGCCACGCTCCCTGGTCCAGCAAGGTCTGGCCGACCGGTGTCAGGACCTTGGTGACGAGGAGATGGTGCCAAGGCTGACACTAGGCACCTCCTCCCCCATGGTGCAGACTTTCAATGCAGTGTCCCCACCCCACCATATCCTTCACCTTCCGGGCTTCTTCTTGTGTGTAGGTTGGAGGTGAAGACAGCATGGTCCTCATCAGGGAAGGTTTCATAGAGAACCAAAATAACAAGTGGTTCAGGGCCAACTTCCCTGATCCTCCGTGAGACATTGGGAACACAGGCTCCTTCCTCCTGAGCTCCCAACCTCAGCTTGTGCTTCCCTCCTCACAGTTGCCTCATGGCCCAAAGTGGCTGCCAGAGCTCCTGCCCTTACAGCTCCACAGCCAGTGTGGTCACTTGGTCACTGCTGGCTGCAACAGACACTGAGAAATGCAGCTAGGACCATGGCACCCTGGGAGCATGGCTTTTGGGGTGGGCAGCCAGTACCCCCTGCCACATAGGGTCACCACAAGAACCAGGTGAGACACAGCCGGTGCTCAGCAGACTGGCTGTCACAAACAAGGAAGCATGAGTGTCGAATGCAGCTGTTAGGCGATGGGGCTTGGGCCTGGCCTTGGCCCAGCCCGATCTCTGGTTGGAGCCTGGCTTCAGCTGCCATATGGCACTTGCCTGCCTGTGCTGGGGCAGCCTCCCGTACCCATGTCAGGAACCTGGAGGACTCCTGAGGACCACCTTCCCCGAGGCCAGGCTCTGCTTCCGACTTCTGAGGTGCACATGGCAGGATGGGAGGGGCTGGGCATATGCCGACCCAGGGGCCTGAGCTGGCCACCCCTGGCTTCCCTGAGCAGGGGCCAGACAAGCTTGGGCAGCCCCGGAGAGCCCCAGGTGGAGGAGCAGGGCCGTAGACTTGGAGGTCTGGGAAGGAGACAGCAACATCTGTGGGGTCGAGACTCAGAGGGTGGGTAGCCTGGGGGCTGTTGGAGGGCCTGCGTGTGTGGATGGCCGTGGGGTCAGGGGCCCAGCAGGGGGAGGTGCACAGCCTGCTTGACGTGGCCCTGGGCAGGGGGCTGCTGCCTCCAGGCCTCAGTCACTGGGCTGGGCCTGAGGGGTTGACAGAGCCTTCCTGGCGGCCTGGGGTCCATCTCTGCCATCCCCAGCTCCCAGGAGCCACGTCTTTTTTGTGAAGACAACCAGGTGCCGGGCCATCAGGCAGGTGTCAGTGTCTCAGAACTCGCATCGTGTGTGTAAGCCAGCGGAGCCAGCCGGTGCCGTGGGAGTTACGGCTGGGGGCCCCCCAGCCGGCCGTGGATCCCACACAGCCGGCCGTGGCTTGAGTCCCGGACCTGGCAGCTTGAAAAATATGCTGGGCACGTGTGCGTGCCTTAAATCTGGAGGATGGAGGAGAGGGGTTGCGGCGTGGCCGCCTCCTGGGGGAGGTGATTGCTCTTTCCCTCTGACGAGCGCATACAAAATTAAGACCACCCCCACAGCAGCGTTCCTCACCACGTGAATCAGGTCAGAAACCAAGACAGCAAGCACAGGAAGCTCCATGTCTGCACGCTAAGGAACATACTTCTAAAATACTTGATAGTCAAAACAGGAATTAGAAAATATTTCAAAAATTAAAAAAAAAAATAAAATAGGCACGGAGTAGTGACGGAACCGACCTGGAAGGGCCAGTGGCTCTGACGGCTCGCGCTGCGGAAGGAGCAGGCCGGGCGTGCTTCCGCTCACGGATGTCACTCTTTCGGGCTGGGAGGAAACTGCTTCCCCATTAAAATGCCATCCTTCCAGGTAGGAAGTCAGGAACGTGTGTAATGTGCACGTCCCCGGGGTGCAGTCTCGGCTCTCGTTCGGGTCCCTCTTCCCGTGGAGGACGCCATGATGGGAGCAGGTGGGAGCAGACGGAGAGCGAGTCCAGCCCGCTTCCGCTCGTGGTAAGAGCTCACATTGGGCCCAGCTGCAGTTACAAGTGACAGTGCTACTGCATGAAGCTGGGGTCACATGGGAGGCCCGCTTGGCTCCAGGACCAGCAAAGCAGGCCGGGCGCGGTGGCGCACCTGTGGTCCCAGCTCACGAGGCTGGGGCGGAGCGTGGCGACGTCCGAGACCTGGGTACAGGTGCCTGGTCCTCACCTGACGGGCAAGATTTTATATGTCAGTTAATCCCGGGCCCCTGCTCTTCGGTCACAAGCTGACGTCTCATCTTCCTTAGTTCCGACCCCTTCCTCTCCCTGGGACCCCTCCACGCACAGGAGCTGTGGGAGCTCGTCCACCCAGTTCCCCTGGATCATTCCCACCTCGACCCCTACCTGCCCTGTGGCGTGCAAAGACCCCACCTCGGTTTTCTGCACTCCGCAGAGCGCGGGCCTGGGCGCTGGGGGGCCGTCTGGCCGGAGGGGGGCCGTGGGGCCGGCGGG